TTGCTTCATTTGTTTCTTTTAGAGGAGAAGAAGTACTCTGATCATCTTGCTGCTCTGAAGCCCCAGCCAGAACCGCCATATTGGAGGACCCTTTGTTCTGCACCAGGTTGTTGGAATCCCCTTGAGGAGAAGAGTTGATCGGAGCAACAGTTTTTGATGGTGAAGTCGAAGTGGTAAGAGCTGGATTCAAAATGTCCTGCAGAGGCAAAAAGAATATTAAAAGCATGTACCAAGGTAATGAATAATTATTTTGTCAAAGATTTAAAGTTCAATTTACCTGTGGACTCTCAGAAGAGAGGTTGCTAGCTATGCGTTCCAACATTACGTTGGAGGTCGAAGGTGGAATTTTGGATTTAGTTGAGGGAGCGGCATCCCTGGAATCGAGTCCAGAGACACTAGGTGGTATAACACTTTTGGAAATTTCCTTCTTCTGCTTCTTCTTCGAAGCAGCTAGTAAATTCCCTCCAGCATTGGGGTCTTCCCCAGTAGTGTTTGTTTTTCTTTTCTTTGGAGTGGTTGGCGGGAGTTTGTTAGTCTAAAAATATTTAAACAATAAGTTAGATACAAATCATGAAACATTAGTGTATTCGAAACATCAAGGCTAAGTGATTACCTGTGGAGTTGGAGCAGTAGTTATTACTGGTGTTGTTGTTGTTGTTGCAGCAGTTGTTGTTGGTTTGGATAGAGTCACATTATCAATGGTTTTGACAGATGCCTGAGAGGCGCTTCCCTCTTTCGACTTTGAAGCAACAGTCTTTATCCTGATGGCTGAAAATCGAAACAATTAAGGCAAAAGTTAAAAATGTAGAAAATGAGAAACATTTGGGATTTTCCCAAGCATTCGCACCTGCGCCTTGATCAGATTTAATCGACATGGCAGAAAGGTCATAGCAAAGATGTCCTGGGAAATCGTGGAGCCAATGTCGAGCCCATGTCACAGTCTCAGATGGCTTTGGTTTCTTTTGAAGATATTTGAACATTTCTTTGCAAGTGAACCACCAAGGGTATGGAGGAAACCAAGCCAGAGCCAGTTCTGAGGTAGGTAATCTAGGAAATTTAGGTGGATGCATTTCGAATGCCAACCTATACCTATCCTCAGGTGACAACCCTGAAGGAAGTTTTAACTTAGAAATTTTTTCTTTGAATTTTTCCTTCAAGGTCTCAGCCGCTTGATGCACAGTGGATTCCAAGTGTGTGGGATCATAAGTAGTTTCGAAATAATTTTGAAAAGCCCTAATCTCTTTGGCATGAGTAAACATACCTTTCTTGGATTGTACCCGCACATCGAACGCATCAGTTAGTTTCTGCTGAATAGTGAGGGTATCGAACATATTAGACTGATAGAACTTTGTCCACCATTCCAGAAACCCCTTTGCTGTAAGGTGTGTAGGTTCGAAAGATATTAGTTCAAAGTGGGCGAAGCCTTGGCATTGTTCCTGCTGTAGTTTGGCTTCTCTTGCCTTGAAGGTTCGCCCAGAGGTGATGGCACTTTCTGTTTGGAATAGGGGTTCAGGGATTAGTTGGCACAAGCCAAATTGTCTCGAAACGAAGTTGGGTTGATAAGCAAAAAGGAAGATTTGATTCTTAGCAGGAGTAATTCATGAGGAGATTAGTCTGGGAAGCAAAAAGGCTTTCCATACATTTTGGATTTCTTTGCTTTTGATTGCTTCTGAGAGAGCCATGGTGAACCATGATGGTCCATGAGTTCTTGAGGCAAAGGGTGCCATGGTCTCTTCGAATTTATGCCTCTTGGAGAAAATCATGATATATTTTGAGAAGAGAACTTTGCTGTCATCCTTATCATCGTTTAGGGTAAGTCTTCGCAACCTAGTGCCTTCGATGATTCTATCCGCTATTTCTGGATCTTGTTCAGCAGTAGTATTGGCAGTTGATAGTGAAGGTTCGAACATGGCATTAAGCCATAACTGGAGTAACCAGAAAGGGCCAGCTAGCAGGATGTTTTTGGAGGTGTGGGATTTCAAACTTGAAACAGCTGATCTTAGACTTTCGTAAAGATCAACTAGTAGCAGTTCGCTTAAACACACCCTCCGATTCTCATGTAAATCTCTAGCTAGAGGAATAAACCTACTGGCTACCTGTAGGGATCTGCTGCAAAAGACATACCTTGACAACCATAAGGTAAGGAAAGCAATGTGTTCCACATCCGACACACTGTCACCTTCAGTGTGATAATGGCTGATGAACTTTGAAAAGCTAGCTAGCTTGACTTCGAAGTCAATAATACTTGAATGCTCTTCATTGTCAGGAATATAGGTTTCCCCTATTGGTGATAACCCAGTAATGGCTGCTATGTCAAAAAAGGTGGGTGTAATCATTCCACCAGGGAGATGGAAAGTATTGTAAGTACTGTCCCAGAAATATAAGGACACGAATAATAATGGGTGGCTATAGGTAAAGCCTGGTTTCGATAGTTTAATCAAGTTGTAAATACCTAATTCTTCCCATTGTTGGGATTTCTTAGCTTCTACTTTAGTAAACCAGTTGTGATAAGCTGTGTCGGAGGTGGGGCAAGATCGAAATGGTTTGAAGTTACTCTTTACATAATCTAGCACAAAAGGGTCCTTAGGGGGAATGATTGGATTTTCCACGGTGGTCGAATCAGAAGACTCTACTGTCTTAGGGGTATCCATTTTATTAAACAGAGGTTTAAAATTATAACAAATAGGGAAAAAAATTCTGGTGTCTTTTAAGATTTCAAAGACTGTAAGAGGGCCCATTAAAGCTAACCTCTTGCCAGCGGTGTTAGTAGGAATTAGTACCTGGGATGCATAGAGCATTTCCTTCTCTTTTGAGATCATCTGAGGAATAAGAACAGATTGACCTTGGTAGGTGCCAACCTTGCTTTCCATTATGGTTCCTGTGTTCTTTCCTTTCTTTTTGGAAGCTTTTTTCAGTTGAGATGAAGTTGAAGAAGACATTGTTTGAAGAGTGTTGGAAGTTTTTCTAGGGTTTCGGTGAGAAAAGAGGAAGAAAAGATTTAGAATGTGGGAAGAAAAGAAAAAGACTAAGTTGATGGGTTTTTATAGTGTGGAAGTTTAAACATCCACTGAGTAAGATTGTGATACGTGGTAGTCGTGGGTTGGTTTGAGAAGGAGGTGGCGTAAAGTTAATATTGGTAATAGGCGTGATTAAATGATAATCATTGTTTTGTAATTGCACCATGCTGTGAAATGGTTCAAGGCGGTTAAGAAATCTGAAAAGCGTCATGATTGACGTGACTGGAGTCATATGCAATAAATGTTACGATGATTCGAAGGTCGCATCAAAATCTTGTGTATATGTTTAAAATAAGTATTTCTCAAAGGAATCGAAATACATATTTTAAAGGGACATTTTGTTGGCTGAAGATTTTGTGATATTGTTCGAAGCAAAGCAAGTTGGATGTTTCGATTGGAATAAAGCAAGATGTCATGTTTCGAAATGGTAGAAGCAGTACTTCGAATGGGCATATCAAAGCTTGGAGCTTCGAGTGACAGTTATGAGGATATCTTTAAAAGAAGTCTCGAAGTGGTAACAAGGCTGTGTCCAAGAAATGCGTTCGAAGCGAAGAAGTGCCAAAACATTTGAAATTCAAATGCAAGCGGGATGTTCGAAATTTAAAAATATATGCGCTGGAGCATTCGAAGACGCGTGGAAGCTAGAGAGAAGCATTGCTTTGCATGTCCTGAACGTGGCAGAATCTTATAGCAAGACCGTTATGGTCGAAGTAGTATAAATAGAAGTCTTAGCATTAGGATTTCGTGTGTCATATCTATTGTACAAAAAACTCAGTAAACATTCAAAATACCACATGGCTAGGGAAACGAATGCACGAGCAATGTACGTATGATAACACCAAGTGTTTATGATTTAATAAAACTCTTTATCATTTCCAGTATTTTCCTTTATCTTCATGTCAATATCATTCAAAAGCCTTTGCATTAAAATATTTTCATTCGAAGTCTTTTTACTGATGTCTTACATTTAAATGTTTTCTTTCCATTTTAAATACTTTACATTTCAGAAACTTTTGTATATTTCATGCCTTTATCTTCATGCCTTTATCATTTGAACACCTTTTTTCATTTAAAGTCATTTTACTGTTTTCTTACATTTAAACGCTTTCTTCATATTTCGAATCTTTTACATTCCAGAGAATCTTTTACATTACATGTTTTTATGCTTCGAAGTCATTTACTTGTCTTTTCTGCAGTTTTACATGTCTTTACAATTGAACTTTATTCATGCAATTTAGTTTCGCGCGTATTTACTTGATCATGTCATTAGATCTTTAATAGATTAATCGAAGTAAGTTAAACACCTACACAACATTCTAAATACCAACCATGAATATCAGTTCTATAATGAGAGTTATCCAAATGACCAATACATCCTAGGATCAATCTAGTCGATCCTGCAAGTTACCAGAGAGATTAAATAACAGTCATTAAAATTATTTGATAGTTCGGAGGACTAGCGGTTGTTTACCAGAAATCACTGTAAACAGCAGCGCTTTTAAACATTGTCTAATTCCAAAAAAAAAAAGCGTTGTCTAATTCCTTCTTTGCCATAGTGTCTTTTTTAAATGCAAAAAAAAAAAAAACAAATATATTAGATTTTATATTAACCCAAATTGATAGTATATTTTATTCTAGAAAAGTGTTATTAAGAGCTTCTAGATTATTTATTGTTTATGAAACCAAAAAAAATGTAACTTATTAAAAATCGTATATTTATTAGTTTGAAAAGTATTTAACTTACTATGCTAATAGGCTGACATACTAGTACATTATTTTTTTAAATGAAGAGGGATAGTCAACTTGGCGTTGAAAAATGTGTTTTTTGTATCGTTGTATTAATTGTTTACACAGAAATACCACAAATGAACTATTAATGCTTGTCTAACTTATGAACCTTACTCCATCATATTCTTTTTTTTGTGTAAAAGAAACATATTCCTTGTTTCCTATTTTCAACAAAAAAAACTTATTTTTATTAAGATGAATACATGGAAAATCTTGGGAGAGTTGAAACCAGTAATGCTGATGGTTTTGGTGCAAATTGCATATGCTTCTTCAAATGTGTTTTACAAAATTCTTATCAATGATGGAATGAGTATAAGGGTAGTAACTTCCTACCGTCTCATTTTTGGAGCTGCCTTCTCTTTTCCTCTTGCTCTTGTTTTAGAGAGGTTTGTTCATACCCCGTTTTACTTCTTTTTGTTTACTAAATATTTCTATACTTGATAGAATTTGTAAGTGTCTGTTCTTTTGTTTGAATTTAAAACAGAAAGAACAAACCAAAACTCACATGGAGGGTGTTTTTTATGTCCTTTTCTTGCGGCTTATTCGGGTAATGTTGATGTATATTTTCATTATGAATCTAGACGGTTTGATCTTAACTCGCATTTTGAGTGATTGATTGAAGCTTGTAACTATAGTCATTAAATAATCTGATATACTCCCTTCATAATTAATTATAAGTAAATTTAATTTAATTTTTTATATATTTGAGAATTAATATTTATAATCTATATATAAATTAAATACGTTAATCCTCAAATGTATCAGAAATTTAAATTCACTCATAATTTATTATAAAAGGAGTAGCATAATAAATATTAATTTTTTTTCTTCTGTCCTAGTATATGAATCTCTTTGCGTGAGTTTATTTTTAATAAATTATATAATTTGAGATTTTAAGCCTATTGTAATTGCATTTATAGATATATATATATATATATATATATTATATAGCAATTTATTGAACTTATATAGTGAATTTAATACATGTTGAAATAATAACATAACCAGAGGGAGTTTATTCCAAAACCTTTTTTTCACCGCATTGGCTTTGGTATCAGCAACATTTGCTTCTGCTGTTTTTAATCTCGTTCCTCTCATCACTTTCATCCTTGCTATCTTGTGCCGGTAAGTACTCACCACCACCACCACTTATACTTTTTGTTACAACTTTTTTCTTCTTGTTATACTAAAACTGATTATTTTATGTTCCAGTTATTTCCTTCTCTGTACTAAAAAAAGATTTTTTCATGTTCCAATTTTTTTATTTTTTTTAGCTTAGAAATGTTAAATATGGGAACCATAGCAGGGAAGGTAAAGATATTGGGAACAATAACAGGAGTTATTGGGTCAATGATTCTGATATTTTTCAAAGGAGCAGAAATCAACATTTGGAAAGTCCACGTCAATCTTTTGCATGGTAATCAAAATAACAGCAACACAGGAACAACTAATTCTGACAGCATTAAAAAAGTTGTCGGTGTTTTATGTGCTCTCGGAAGCTGTTTCAGTTTTTCATTATGGCTCATTATTCACGCTAAGATGACTAAAGAGTATCCGAGTTATTACTCAAGCACAACGCTGATGAATCTAATGGGAGCAATACAAGCCACAATTTTTGCCCTATGTGTTGAGAAAGATTGGAGTCAATGGAAATTGGGTTGGAGTTTTAGACTTCTAACTGTAGCTTATTTGGTACTTCAAAACCTAGTCTTAAGAATTTAGTTTCAAAATAAAATTGAATCCTGCATTCACGCAATTCGAAATGTGACTAATTATTGCAGGGAATTGTGACATCTGGATTAGTGTTTATTTTGACAGCTTGGTGTGTAAGGAAGAAAGGTCCAGTGTATGCATCTGCATTCAACCCTCTTAATCTTTTGATTGTGGCCATTGTTGCTTCCTTGTTGTTAGATGAAACTCTCTACCTAGGAAGGTATGCATATGAAAATACTGCATATACTCTTTTGGAAAAATATAATATATGATATTATGATTTGTACTAACTTATGGTTTTTGTGAAACATGTTAGTGTGATTGGAGGCGTGCTAATTGTTGGTGGTTTGTACATGGTGTTATGGGGTAAGAGTAAAGAAACAAACTTCATTGCCCATGAATTTGAAGGATCAACTGAGGTTGTTGTTATGTCCTCGATGACAACTGATCATGATTTGGTCACTGCAGCAACAATAGCCGCACCAAAGACTAGGAGGAATTTTATTGTTAAATAGGTTTAGGATTAACTTTAGTTTTTGCTTCATGGATTAAACATTTGGAATAAGATAGGTACGGTAAAAATCAGAATATTCCCCTTGAGGAGTGACATAAAAATCATGAAGATATTTTGGATGTAGGTGAATATTGGCCTTTTTCTCAAATCTTACTTCACCTCCTCAAGTGGTGGTTGTGAAAGATTCTGTATTTTTCTTCTCCGAATTTGTGTATATCAGGGTTTTATAAAGTGAGTGAATTTATAGAGATGCCATGGGCCTAGTCAAGAAGAAGTTTTCCTAGTTTCTTCAACAAAGACGATCTTTTCTTTGAAGTGTTGACAAAATGGTTTCACTCATTGACTTAGATACTTCGACTGTTATTCCTCAGACACCTCATAAATCACACGTGATAAATGTGGTATATCATAGATGTCAGGTCCAAGCTCTATCGGACGACCACTACAAAAATATATGTCCCCAGCGACATATATTAGCGACGTGCTTATCACGTGGGTAGTAGCGACGTGATAACCACGTCGCTAATATATTTTAATGACATTTAATGGAAATTGGTGAACGTTTTTCAGAGGGAAGTTTGAAATTTTGTAGCGACGTGATAGCCACGTCGCTAAATTTTTGGGGGGAAAAATAATTTCGCTGCGCAGTGTTGGAGAGAGAATAGTATTTATGATTAGTTTGTAGCGACGTGATTATCACGTGGCAACGTTGCGACGTGACAGTCACGTCGCTACTAGAAGTTACATATGTTAACGTTTTGATTTACAGTAGCGTGCTTTCTTCTTCTTCCTTTGCTTGCTACTTCTCAAACATTACAGCAACTCTCACAAACTCAAAATTGTTCCTCTCAAACCCAATTTCGCGAATTAATTTTCTTCCATTCCAATTTGTTGAAGAAATCTAAGGTATTCATATGATGTTAAATGTTTATTTCGTTTGTTCTTTATTTTTTATACTGGAATGAAGTATTTAACATGGTATTTGTTCGATTGTTCGTTATTATTTGTAGAGAAATTTGAAGAACACCAAGAACTAGAAGACGCAAATTTATTGAAGAAATTATATAGAGGTATTTATGCATTTTTTTTTAGATTTTATATGTATTATATAGATTAGATTTGTATATGTATTTTGTGGTTAGGAATATATGTATATACTGTTAGTAGTATAAAATTACTGATAATAAAAAAAATTTTAAAAACATATTTAATAACATATTTAATATATTTTTTGCATATGTAATTTGTATATGTAATTTGCATATTTTTTGCATATGTGATTTATATATTTTTTAGTAGTATATTTGTATATGTAATTTGCATATTTTTTAATAACATATTTAATATATTTTTTAAAAAATTTTAGAAAACATAAATTTAATAACATATTTAATAACATGTTTTTTATAGATGTATATTGTATTTATTATAATAGTTTTATTTTTTTATTTATATGTTAAAGATATGGAAAAAAAAAATTATATATTAGAATAACAATTTATAAAAAACATAATTAAAAAAAGAATATATATATTATATTATTATTTTAATATTATTGTTATATATATAATAATAAATAGTATGTATCTTACATTATTTGTTTTCTAATATTATTGTTGTATATATAATAAAAAGTAAATATGTTATATTATTGTTTTTTGATATTATTGTTATGTAATAAAAAATTATATATTTTACATTTGAATATTTATTTATATGTTAGTATATATATAAAAAAGCAAAATTTATATTTCTAAGAATAGTATTAAATAGTTTAAGAATATTTCTAATGAAAAAGACAATGATTGTATAAATGTGCAGTATGGAATATTATCGGTATTATCGCAGTTGGATGTACGATAGAACATATCCAGGAAGAAGTGGACTTAAACCCAATTTTATAGTAGGAGTTGATGGGTTTATTAAGTGGGCGTTTGCTCAGGATTGTTGTCGAAGCGAAGGAGGGGTTAGATGTCCCTGTCTTAAGTGTGAATGTAGACCAATAATTAGTTACCCAGAGGAAGTAACACGTCATCTGCATAGAAGGGGATTCATTGAAAATTATTGGGTTTGGACGTATAATGGTGAAGAACTACCGGTTAATGTACCAGAGACTAGCAACACGCATGCTTCAAGTAGTCGACCGGTTATGGAGTATGAGGAGAACTTTAATTTGATCGGTGACATGGTTGAGGATGCTTTTGGTGTGAACGTGACATATGATGAACCTGAAGATTTTGACGGGGAAGAGTTGCCGAATGAGGAAGCGCAAAGATTTTATCAATTATTGAACGAGATGAATACGCCGTTGTTTGAGGGGTCGTCAGACTCGAAGCTATCAATGTGTGTGAGATTATTGGCTGCCAAGTCAAATTGGAATGTTTCTGATCAATGTTTGGAACATTTTGCAAAAATGATGTTGGACTCCACCGCTACGAAAGACAATTTGCCTACAAGTTATTATGATGCAAAGAAGTGGGTGTCGAAGTTGGGTTTAAAAGTAAGAAAGATTGACTGTTGCATTAACGGTTGCATGTTGTTTTATGACAATGAGTTTGGTACTCAAGATGGATCGTTAGAGGAGTGTAAGTTTTGTAATAGTCCAAGATATCAAGTTCGCAGTAGAGCCGTTAACAGCAAGCAAAAGCGTGTAGCAGTAAAATCCATGTTTTATCTTCCTATAATACCAAGGTTAAAAAGAATGTTTGCTTCAATGCACAGTGCAAGTCAAATGACATGGCATCATACAAACCAAACAAGTTCTGGCACTATGCGACATCCATCTGATGGTGAGGCATGGAAGCACTTTGATCGGACACATCCAGATTTTGCTGCAGAACCTAGAAATGTCAGGCTTGGATTATGCTCTGATGGATTTGCCCCATACGTGCAAGCGTCAGGAAGTGCGTACTCTTGTTGGCCAGTTATTGTAACACCTTACAACCTCCCTCCTGAGATGTGCATGACAAAACCATACATGTTTTTGACGTGTGTTATTCCAGGCCCGCACAGTCCAAAAGCCGGAATTGATGTGTACTTACAACCTTTAATTGATGATTTGAAGAAGATGTGGAATGGAGAATGGACTTATGATATATCCCGTAAACAGAACTTCACATTACGAGCTGCCTTGATGTGGACCGTTAATGACTTTCCAGCATATGGCATGTTGTCTGGTTGGGGTACGCATGGAAAAATGGGTTGTCCGTATTGCATGGGATACACCAAAGCATTTACGTTGGATAAAGGTGGGAAAAGCTCATGGTTTGACTGTCACCGCAGATTCCTACCAGCAAATCACCCGTATAGAAGAAACAAGACAAATTTTAAAAAAGATGTACGAGAGAAAGATTTGCCTCCGCCTCGATTGCCACCAGGGGTTATATGGAACCAAGTATGTGAACTACCAAAATTTACAGATACTGGGAAAGCATGCCGAATTGAAGGATACGGGGTCACCCACAATTGGACAAAAAGAAGTATATTTTGGGATCTTCCGTATTGGAAAGATAATTTGTTGCGCCATAATCTTGATGTTATGCATATTGAGAAGAATTTTTTTGATAATGTATTTAACACAGTGATGGATGTGACAGGAAAAACAAAAGATAATGAGAAGGCCAGACAAGACATGGGAATTTGGTGTAATCGAAGAGAGTTGGAGTTGAAGCCTCAACCGAATGGAAAATTATTAAAACCCAAGGCTTGTTTCAGTCTGACTTCCCAAGAAGCTAAAGCGGTTTGTAGATGGTTAAAAGAATTGAGAATGCCCGATGGGTATTCATCAAATTTAGCAAGGTGTGCTGACCCTAACACTGGAAAATTACATGGTATGAAAAGTCATGATTGTCACATTTTTATGGAACAGTTGCTACCAATTGCATTTGGATCGCTACCCAAACATGTTCTTGACCCACTAACTGAAATTAGTCAATTTTGTAGAGATATTTGTGCGTCAGCTTTAAAAGTGGAAGACATCATTAAGTTGGACCAAAACATTGCACTCATTCTTTGTAAGTTGGAACAAGTATTTCCGCCTGGTTTCTTTGACTCCATGGAACATTTACCTGTGCATCTTGCATATGAAGCTTATCTTGGTGGACCTGTTCAATATAGGTGGATGTATCCGTTTGAAAGGTTCATGGGTGATTCAAAGAGATCGGTAAAAAATAAAGCTAGAGTAGAAGGATCTATATGTGCACATTACTTGCATCGGGAAACATCACATTTTTGCAGTCACTATTTCAATCACTTGATGTTAACTCCTAGAATCATACGGAATCCTGTAAATGTCAATCAGAGGAGTCAATTCACCTTATCAGTCTTTGCGCTACCAGGTCGACCTTCTGGAAAGAAGGGTGTGCATTGGTTGACCCAAAAAGAAATGCAATCTGCACATGTCCATGTCTTGATCAACTGCGTTGAAGTTAAACCATATCTTGAGTGAGTTTACCAAAACTTTTTAAACTTATGGTGTGTGTATACCAAACTTATTAAACTTATTGTGTGTTTTTTGTAGGGAATTTAACAATGCCTATTTTCATAGTACCGGGGTACAGTCAACATCAGGTGTCATTCATGCTCAATTTCCCTCATGGTTCAAGCAAACATTGTCTAGCGTTCCTGCACTAACTCCAGAAATACTCCATTTGAGAAACTTGGCAGAAGGCCCTATCCAAAGCGCAAATGATTGGCACACATACTTCGTGAACGGATATAAATTTCACACTGAGGCATGGACCGAAGGGAAAAAACCATAAATAGTGGTGTTTTTGTAAAAGGAGTTACAGATGGCGGTGAAGACGACTTCTATGGATTTGTTAAACATATCTACGAGTTGGTATACAATTACTTTGACACGGAAAATAAAGTTGTCTTGTTTTATTGTGAATGGTATGATCCAACTAGAGGCACAAAGATAGACAAGTCATATGGTTCTGTCGAGATTCAAATGAACCGGAGATACAAAGAATATGACCCTTTCATAATGTCACATATTGT